GGGGGGCCGGAGGGAGGGTGGTGGAGGGGAGGGGAGGAGCAGGAGGCACAGAGGTGAACAGAAGAAGCACAGAGTTGCAGACAAGGCCACAGCAAGTTTGCAACGACTGTAGAGACAGAAGTGATCGTGATGATTGGTGTGGTTTTGGGCTGTCCGTGAAAAGCAATTAGAGTCCTACATTTCTGAAATTTCACGGAAGTTGCCAAAACTTGCAGGGATGGAACCAGTTAAGGTGTTGTGATCCAAGTCCCTGGATGACCGGGGTGGGAGTTGAGGATACATTGACGAGCAGGATAAGTGGCAAAGCAATGCAGCTCTATTTGTACTAACAAATTTTATCAATAATGGAGTACTCTGACAGGGCATTCGAGCAAGTGATTACATGCGACTGAAGCCATATGGCATGAGGGTTCGGGCACATGGGAATGCCTTGCTCCAATCACAACGATTGGACGGTACTTACAGATTCTTAATCTTCTGCAAATTGGTGAGCGACTCTGGAATAGAACCCGATAAACCATTGTTGCCCAGATTGCTGAAAGAGAGGTTGGGAAAGCTCGGATATGCTTAGTTTAACTAGCATGCAGTACCTGTTGAGGTTACAACACATGCTGCAGTGAACATTTTTCTGCATGACAGAAAATACATGTACCCACGTGCGCATTCCCTTCACACATATGTCAGCATAGATCAGCAAGTTGATGATGCACACACGAGAAAACTCACAGGCGGATGAGCGCCGGGAGGTTGCCCAGGGAGGACGGGAGGGTGCCGGTGAGCTGGTTGGAATGGATAATCCTACGGGTCAGACATTGGAGGCCGTAGAGTAATAAGGATAGCGCACATGCATGCGGTACAAGAAGCAAGTGCACGCATGCTGGGTGGGGAACCATTGGGTGGTGCTGAAAGCAGAAACAGTGGCTGAAAATGTTAGTTCAAACAAGCAGGCAGTCACACATGGGGCACTGAATGTTGGGAATTTTAAAAGGTGGGGTGGTGTTGGTGGGACACTGGATTATTCCTGAGAGTTGGAGGGCTACTTGAGCGTCCTGGGTTATGGGGTGCTTACCAACCAAAAAAACATCCCCCCTTAACCCAGTCGGTAGCAGGCTGTGCTAGTGGTATCACAGCCAAAGACCCAGTGTCTTCCAAATGAGTGCTCGTGTCCTAAGGAGCCCCCAAGTGAGGGGGAGACGGCCCTAGGGATTGTTGGTGGGGCGCTGGAGTCCTGGCGGGTTTTGGGTGTGCTACCCACCAAACAAACATGCCCTTCCAACCCAGATGGTAGTAGGCTGGGCCAACATGTCGTGGAAGTCGCAGAGGACACTTACAAAAACTCAAGGCCTGTGGCAGCTTCTACTGTACTGGGGATGCTGCCCGAGAGCTGATTGTAAGAGAGAAAACTGCACATCAACACCATGCATTGATGGGTGATCAACATGCATGCATGCACATGTGTGTCGATTGTATCAAATCCGTGGGCCACATGCATGTGCCGTGCAGACACATAGTGGCGTGACATGAGAGGTGCGGAGGTGCGGATGCGGAGAGCGAGGGTAACTGGACTTTCACATCATATGGACCACTTCAGGAGTCCGAGTCTCACAGTCGCTTCAGGTTGGGCAGTGCAAAGAGAGCAGCGGGCAGGGAGCCTTTCAGTCCACTGGACGTGATGTCCCTGGGGGGGGGGGGGGGGGGGGGAATGCAGAGACAGAAACATGGACAGGATTCACGCACGTGATTAGAACAAGGAAAACGGGTATGGTGGTGAAAGCAAAGCAGAGTGCTTGGAACAAGGGCGACGTGTGTGCCCTGCAAAACCTTCTCACTGCCAGATCAAGCCTATATTGTGTCCCAATAGTGCGGGCGTACCAGTCCAAGCCTATGGTGCCACAGCAGCCAAGCCACTCACAGAAACGACAGGTACTCTAGGCCGGTGATGCCGTCTGGAATAGAGGCCGCTATCGTGCTGCCGTATGTCTCACTGTGGAGCAGAGGGGAGCACAAGGGGAACCCTCTTGGTAATGCAGGTGAGAATGGTAGTAGTGCCGCTGCATGGGGCGACAAACGCTTGGAGCGCAGCGAGGAGGTGCCGATGGAAGGATCAGCTGCGTCATGTAGTGATGCAGCTCATGGTGGTAAATGCTCTCAAGGCTAGTAACAGCAAACTGTGTTGTGCCATCACGTGATTTCACTCACGTGGAATGTTACAGTGCTATGATGCTATGATGCGTACATCACAATGACGTGGCCGCTGACATCGCATTTGACTGCAGTCATGCTGTCGCAGTCCGCGCCTCTAATCCACGTCTCCCTGCCTCTAATGCCGCTCCATGCAGATGCCAGCATCTCCAACACGCCCACTGCCATCATTCACCAACCATGCCACCATTCATGCCATGCCATACCAAGCCATCATGCCATGCCATGCCCCTTTTCACCATGCCACCATGTATTGCCATCTCATGTCACCATGTATGCCAGACACGCCCAGCCCCATCATCCCAAGTAGCGATGCGACCTTGACATCATGTCATTTTTTCATGCAGCAGGCACAAACCTAACTTTCCCCGTGTAGGCCAGCCATACCACGCCGCACACACCATCATGATACATGCACGGTTGGGAGAAGAGGGTGAGTTGAGGTGGCAGAGGTTACAGTGTCAGGACATGACAGGAATACACCGGCAACTATGCTGGGCAAGCTTTTTAAGATCTTCAACGTAAACGCCCAGTGCGCTGACAGCGAGGGTTTAGCACTTGTCCATCGCCAAAGGAGTAGATCCGAATCAGGCACGAATGCGTTTCTGGACGATTCCTGCGGGTCGCCGAATTGCTAGCATGTTTTTGTAACGCCGTGGGGCTTACATGTAAGGGTTGAGGGTCTTTTATAACACCTTGCTCGGTCAAAACGAGGGTGTTATTTAGGCGCAGCAGAATGCCCTTGAACACAACCCACAGGCGTTTCACCCGTTCTCCCCTGGTGCCAACGTCCCCGCCGGCCGTCAACTTCAGGGAGTCTGCCCCCGCAGGACCTCATTCCAGGATCGTTCGCTGGCTTCGTGACTGAGTCACCACATTCCAGGTCTCACAGCGGACAATGTGGACCAGCTGGGAATCGAGCCCTAGGTTCTGGTATCAGTATGACACCTAGCTACCCACTTGGTCAAAACGGCAGCGTTATTTAGCTGCAGCGGAATGCCCTTAACAGAGCCCACAGTTGTTTGATCTCGAAGCGTTATATTGGTATCAGAGCGTAGGGTTAGATTCCCGGCTGGGTCACATTTTCCGCTAAGAGAGTGAGAAGTTCAATGTGGTAACCCAGTTGCAAACCCAGTGAACGACCCGTCGCTGGGTTGGCCCACCAGCGAAGTCGCTGCTTGCGCACAGCGAAGTTGAGGTCCTTGCGAGGGACCACTGTAACGCCTGTGGGGCTTACATGTGAGGGTTGAGGGCCCTCGTTTTGACCTGGTGGGTACTACTAGCAAGGCGTTATAGTTTTGGGCTCTTGGTTGAGTAGTACGTAGAGTTACTTTTTCGTTGTTTTTTGCATTAGCCTTTTCCGCGATATAGGAGCCAGGGTCAGCGCGGCTTACTGTCAGGGTCTAGCACGGGAGCAGCCCATGCGGGCATCATCATGCAGCAGCGCGCCGCGACCAGCGCAATCACCGCCGCCCTCGCCAAACCGCTCCACTTCGCCGCCCACCATCCCGTTGCTCGAGTCCTCCTCTGTGCCCGCGGTCGACGGGCGCTCCCTTCTGTGTGGGTTGCATAATGATGTGGATCCACTGGCGCCGCCGGTGTCTGGGCCGAAGCGTCAGGCACCGGCCATCCCAGTACTGCACTATCACCTCTGGGACTATTACTGTTGCTACTACTGATTCTAGTACGGTTACCCATCGATTGCCTCTAGCTTTAGAACAAGGTGGTGGTTCTTTGCAAGAGTGGATTCAACTTTTGGAAAAGATGGTTCTGCGCTTCAAGTTCTGTTTTCTGTCCCGCAGTTCTTACAAGCATCTCCATAACAGTGTACTCATGAAGCCGTCAAACCGTGCTGCACTGTTCTGTTCGTATTCTGTCGGTGGGTATTCCTGCCATCCGCAGTGGAAGTTACTGTGCGAATGTTGCAAATCCAACGGGGCACACAACCAGCCTATTGAGCAAGAGACGCGTGCGAGTCGCACGCCAACGCAACACATTTTGCGTCGCCCCCCCTCCTCGCTGGTAAAAGTCTGACACTGCATCAAGTTTGGCAAATAGAATCTGTTCATCAACATAACAGTTCGATGTGTGTAGGCTGGGTTGCTTCAACCAGCTGGGACTGTCATGGACGAGCTTTGACCTGAGAGTGTACCTTTCCGTAACACGGTCCAACGTCTTGAAACCGCACTGTACATCCCAAAAATGTTCTCCCCAGTACATAGTACTTATAGGTTCTGCTACAAACAATTTACTCTATAAAGCTCCGTATCTACAATATAGCAGAACCTATAAGTACATAGTACGGGGGGCTAACAATTAAGGTTAGTAACCTTCCGTTTAGCAATACTGTAGTGTTCAACTTGGACGATGTGGTTTGTCGACGTGGATGTAGGAATTTGTTGGCTTCCGAGCCAGCTAATAAAGGAGTGGTCCAACCAACCACCGCACCAGACCCACGTCGGCAACGCCTTGTCACACCCACGAGGATTCGTGCGCTCCGATATATATACACCGTAATCCTCACCTATACAGTACACCGAAACCTAGCCTTTTCCATCTTATGCCTTTGTTGCTTCACTTTGCATCTGAACGCGACTAATTCATATTGATAATCCACCTCTACTTACACCAGTCGGGTCGGGATCATCCTCACATCACCCAAGATGGAGCACTGGTTGCTATTTTATCTCGTTTCCTTAAAAAAAGGCTTCTCCTACTATTGCGTCGTTACGCGGCGACTCTGACGTAAACCGCTAGCAGTACCCGCAGTCCGCGCGGCTTTCCCACAAATTACTATCATGGCGACTTGCCACCATGTAAGCGCTCGCCAAACGCCCATCGCAAAGCTCACATTGGCGCAACGGAATCGCGTCCAGCGAGGCCGCATAGTAGTACTAGGCACGCTTCAACTTTGGTGACTGCGCACAGCTCGCCCGTGCCCTCTTGTCTCCCTGCTCCCCAACATCATCATCCCCCTCCCCTCTCACCCCTTCCCTCGCTCTCTGCCTCTGCCGCCCAACCCCCTCCCTCCTCTCGTAGGGTCACAGCCGCCCTGCCGTGGCGCGCCAGGCCTTCCGCTGCCTCCTTCTCCTCGGCGCAAGCCTTGCCTGTCGCTCTCTCCCAAGCGCACTGGCAGTGCGGCTACATGAGGCAGATGGTAAGGTGAACGTGAAAGTCATCCTGCTATGTATCACGTTTTGGTCTATCCATACAGGAAAACCAGTCCTCGTCCTAACCAGGCCGTTTCTGATCATGATCCCCCTCTTGCACCCACTTCCGTGCCCATGCCCTGCCCCGTGTTACCCACCCAGCCGAGAGCCTAGAGGTGCTGGCCTACCTGTGGGGCAATTTTGCTGGCAGTGACACGTGGTCGTGGCGCCACGTGGACTGCAGGGCAATGGATGGCATCAAGTGCGACGATGACGGATACGTCATTGCCATGTGAGCGAGTTCTTCTTTCTTCCACATCAGGGACGGCTACAACATGCATTTGGTTCTTGTTTTGAGTCGACTCAAAACGTGCATTTGGTTATTTCTCAGTCTTTGTGGGTAGCTCAACGTCAACCTGTTGTGCAATGTGTTACTACGCACAGCCGTTTTGTGTATCTCTCACCATACCATATTGTGCTTCCTGCGGCAGGATCGCAGACTATCTCAGTGTGCTACTTACAATCACCCCACCTGTTCCTCGTTTTGACCTCAGAATCTTGTCCTACAAGAATATTGGAAATTCTATACCCGAGGAAATAAGCCAATTTCAACACCTCAGATTCCTGTGAGTTACTACTAGGTGGGTGGATGGTCCCAATACCCCACCTCAAGATGTAAGTATGTCTTGCGGTTACATACTACAATCTAGCAACAGCATTGAAGTTGACGTGCCGCAAGGTCATCACAAAAATCCTATGACCAGAAACATATTGTAAAGAGTTGTGGCGAAGTATTTTCAAATGCTTTTAAACCGTAGGGGCCAAAACGCTTTTCGGTGAAAGTATAAACATTTTTTCGAATGCTTTGTTGAATGCTTTTCAGGTGCTTCTCCAATGCTTCTCTGTCTAAACCTAGCACGAATTGCAGATGCTTTTCAGATGCGATTCAGATGCTTTTCCGCAGAGCGGTTTTCGAGTTTTGCTCTCATTGCATTGCACTCTTTATGGGCTTTGGGTCTCATTATATTAAACACATGAATTTTGTTCCTTTATTTATTACGTTACAATACATCAACACCATAATAATGATTGGCAAGCTTTAACAAAGATCTAGTCACCTTCACATGTTCATCAGAACCCTAATTTAAGCATGATTTCGCCCAAAAATGCATCGTTATAGCTGCGGAAACAGCTTTGCCTGCTGCTCAATCACTGACTCCTAGATCTGAGGTAAACAAAACAAGAAGCCGTGAGTAAAAACGACCAGCAACGCACAATCAAATGCTCACCGGGAGAAAAGGCATAAAAACAGAGGATCTTGTGGTGCATGACTCTGACACACAAAAAAAAACAGGATGAGAATGTTGAAGTACGATGTGACGCCCTCAATAAGAACGCAAACATAAGTCATAAGCAAAGGCAGATTGACGCGGCGACCTGCACAAACCGAGAGGGACATTAGTTGGATAACAATTCGGGCTAACACAGAGAAGGATCTGACGTGACCTTAATCAGAAAACTGCGCGACCTGAGCTTCGACCTGCAGTTGTTGATCAACAGGAATTAAACGATAAAAATATACGTACCACGGAGGACACACCGACACAAAGTAAATCGAGGCGCACTCATGGCAGTCACGGAAAATTACGAGCTATTGAAACGGTTGAGACGATGGCGACGGTTGAAACTACGGCGACGGTTGAGACTATGACGACGGTTGAGACTATGGCGGCGGTTGAGATAACGAGATTGGAAAACGTGCTAAGGTAAGGAAGAACTAAACTGAAATCAGACACAGCCACTCTAGAATAACAAAATGAGAGCCCACTTCACCTTTTTTGTGCAAGCTTAACGGGTAGAGTGCCTAGAGGTGGTGTGGATGGGGTGGGTTAGTGGTGGTGGTTGGGGTGGATTTTGTTGAGGTGGATGCAATGCCGGCTTTGATTGGTTGGGCAAGGTGGTATGCTGAGCTGGATTGAATGAGGCGAATTTGGTTGGTTGGAGAGATTTGTGGGCTGGTTGGGGCTGATTGGGAAAGTGTGATTGGAAGTTGGCAAATGCGTACGGAAAAAAAAAAAAAATGTTATTTGCAAACCTTCAAAACAGCCATTCTAGTCCAGTCAGTTACGCCATTTGGCTGACATGTAGAAGACCCGGGATCGAAACCCGGTAGCGGGCCATTTTAGAAATTACGCTCTCTTCTGAGAATTTTTTTTTACCTCACTGCGCATTAAAATTGAGGTATCATAATGATCCACACTTAACTTAGTAATCAGACATTTATGCAACCTTATTATTGTTTCAACAATAAACATCTGACAAACAAACCATTGAAACATTGCAAAACCATTACTAAAACATCCGCAAATCATTTGGTCTGACTAAAATGCTATACAAATGATAAACAGATGGTTTCTGGATGATTGTCAAACGATTTTTGGAGACCCGCATAAAAAAAATATGGTCATATGATTTCTAGACGCACACATTTTTGTGATGGTGTTGCCGTTCACCCGGTGGCCCAAAACGCAGTTGACCAGCCCTCATTCACAAAATTGGACCGAGGGCTTTGAGAAAATTGTAGCAGTTTAATTAGAGTGTTGCTGTGTAGAGGGGGATGAGGGCAAACCGAGGGAAACTAAGATTCTCAGCGAGTTATAGAAGCGCCAGGGTGTCAAACTCCACTGCCGTGCAGAGCGAGCGGACAGATGGCATGCATTCATGTCTTGAACCAATCACTCCTCTCCTCTTCCTTTCCATCACTTCTAATTTCCCCATTCTCCCTTGACTGTTACCCCCTATTTTCCTGTAAATATCCACATTTTTCTCTGCTTTCTACCACCCTTACATCCATGCGTTCTCTCATGTCTTTCTCATTTACTTCCTCTCTTAGCTCGCTTGAGGGCTGCCAGCTTACGGACTCCATCCCCGACGCACTTTTCGATATCCCTTCACTTAAACTCCTGTAAGTGTCATGCTCATAACACCCACATGCGCCATGCAACCTGCGCCTAGCGATGAGCACGGACCGGCCCGGGCCGGGTTGGGCCCTGATCCAATCGGGCCATGCCGTTGGGAAAACTGGGCCGAACCAGGTTCGGCCCACCCTGAGACAGATGAGCCATGTCTCAGTTTGAGCCCATCCACATAATGGTTTGGCCAAAAACGGCCTAGTCGAATCGTTTTCAGCCTGACCCAGGCCGGGTTGGCTTGGCCCAGCCCAGGGTAACTTCCATGGTATTCAAAGTGATGAAACTCGCCAGATCCTTAACACTAAGCCGGATTTCCATGTGGCACGTCTCTGTTGTCAATCCCTTCAAGTAAATGCTATAAATTTCGAATCGGATCTAACCTTGAATGCAAAAAACGAGTGCTTACTATGATAAATGATGGATGATGTCGGCCCGGTAAGTGCTGGAACTTTGAGCTCGGAAATAAGCTCCAAGCTTTGGTCATCGCGCAGGTCCGTCTTGGAGAGGTTTTGACCGCGACGTGAAGTGGGACGATTCGGCACGACCTATAAAAGTCGCCCCGAATCGGTTCGGTGGGCTGAACTAGGGTTGAGCAAAAAAACGAACACCTGTTCGGTTCGCCTCGAACGTGTTCGAGGCGAACCGAACAGGTTTTTTTTTTTTGGCTTACAATGTTCGCCGAACAGTGTTCGATGTTCGCCCGAACACGTTCGTGTTCGGGCCGCTGCTGCAATTTGCCCGCGACGAACACGAACAGTGTTCGAGGTTCGCCCGAACACGCCTTCACAGGCGAACGGCGAACACCATTTTTTGCTTTAAGTGTTCGCCGAACCGAACAGTGTTCGGTTCGGCAAACGAAGGTGTTCGTGTAGGGGCGAACACGAACACGTTCGTGTTCGCCACTTGCTCATCCCTAGGCTGAACCCAGCTCGGACCGACCCGGGCCACCATAACAACTCAGCGGTTCGTCCCAGGAAGCATCCGAACCGGCCCGGTCCAGGCTGAACCCTGTTCGCCCGCCTGCTCATCCCTACATGCGCTTCATTCGCGGGTCGAACCCTTAAGCCATTTGGAGAATGAACCGCATGGTAGATGCTACTTTTGACCTCTTAAGCCATGTCTTATACTTGCAAGAGCAAATTAACCAGTTGTTACGAGCCACTGCATCCATGAACCATGTTTAACTCGACATAAAACCTCACATTCAACATGCATGGTGGTTTCATGTGTGAGACATTTCATGATGCAAGGTCTCTGTCTCTACTTCCTTCTATATTGTCTTTACCAAGACTCATTTGACGATCTCTGTGCTCAACCCTTAATGCGTGTGGTGCACTCTAGTGACCTAACTGGCAACTCCATAACGGGGACTCTCCCTACAGGCTTGAGCCGCTCGACCAGCCTAGAGAGCATGTGGGTAAACCAGAATAAGAATGGTTATAGCAATGTGACACTGATGTCTACTAGTACTAGGTACGCATGGTTAAGAGCTGGGCTCGTGCCTTGGGCTCAGGCCAAGCCCGGCACGACATGGCACAGCCCCAGCCTGTCCCGTCAACATTGGGTGCTCCAGTTTTCTCCAGCTTATTGAGCATATTCAAAGGGTGGGTGGAAGACCTACTGCTCATCACTTGCATTTTGTTCTTGGGCATGCGGCCTTTCCACCTTAACAGTAGTAGTAGCACATGGACCCTGGATGCAAGGGCCTCTGATGGCTGCAGTTCGGGGTGGGGCCAGCCCATCCCAGCCAGCTTTGATGCCGTTGCAGGTCCAGTCCCGGCCAGCCTTGCTTTGTGGGCTGAGCCAGAGCCAGTTTCTCCAGATCGTGCAAGTGCTATGGAAACTCGTTCGTGCCTAGGGATGAGCAGAGGGCGAACTCGAACATGTTCGTGTTCGCCCCCTATCGAACATCGACTTATACCGAACCGAACACTGTTCGGTTCGGCGAACTATTTGGGCGAAAACAGGTGTTCGCTGTTCGCCCTAAGGGGCGAACGAATTGTTGCAGCAGGCGAACTCGAACATGTTCGACTCGAACATGTTCGAGTTCGCCAAAGGGAAAATTCGATATAGTCACAGTGGTCATATTGTGAAACGCCGTCTCTACAACTTGACACCTTGACCGCTTGGTGCTTGATCCCTATGCTTCTCAACACTAATGTTCACACAAACACCCTACACTACGAACTACCCTAACCCTAATGTCCGTGTAGATGAACGATGTAAGGTGTGCGATGGCTAGTAAAACCGCAAGGCTAGGGCGGTTGTGTGAGAGAGGGCTAAGCGCTAACGGCGTTTTGAGCTTGAGCTCACGAAATGAGCTCAAACTCAAAACGGCCGCGACCTAAAATTGGTCGCGGCCAATTTTGACGCGAACACTTTTGTGTTCGCGGGGCACCCAATTCGAACACGAACGCGTTCGTGTTCGAATTCCCTTAGACAAAAATCAATGGCGAACGGCGAACATGTTCGGCCGAACACCGAACATGTTCGCCATGAACGATTTAGGCAAAAAAAAAATGCCTGTTCGGTTCGCCTCGAACATGTTCGAGGCGAACCGAACAGGCGTTCGGGATTTTGCTCATCCCTATTCGTGCCTGTCGATAGAATGGTCCGGCCGTCTGTCCAAACACGCCTTAGTGTGTTTGCACCTGTACGTACTTCCTTCATGCATGGATACATACGTCCATGTAGGTAGACATAGCTTGCATAACATCCATAACAACATGCAAACATCCATTGCACTCTTGTCACTACAATTGCTCAAGGTTCCATTGACAGTGTTACCTTGTCTCGTTCTCAATCTTCTTTCTCCGACTCCTGCCAGATACCTAAGGTACAATCAGCTATCGGGGTCAATAGACCCGCTCTGCAATCTGTCACAACTCAAACACATGTGAGTTCTTGTTTCTAGCAAATGTTAACTTGATAAAGGCAAGTCTCACTCACAAATATCACCTTGTTGTGGTGATGGAAGTTAAGGGAAGGACATTGTGGTTGCGCACAAACAAATTGTTCTAGTTGAAATTCCTTGTAAGAATTATGAAAGCATTTAAACCCGCCTAAATCAGTATTTCGCATGAACATTCCACCTGGTCCGGTCGGGTCCCGGGACTGGTCAGATGACTGACATTATGGACTCGAAGGTAATATTTTGCGTATGTTAACTCAGTTCGGGTCTACCCATGACCCAAAAAACTACTGAAGGGTTCGTGTAATAGCGGCCCATGGAGATGGGTCGGCCATTGAAATTGCCAGTCCGCATGGATCAGCAATCAGCTATTCGGGAGAAAGATCGAAGAAGGATCCTCTAGATAGGTTATCAAAATCAACCATGCTTCTAGCATCAATGCTATACTCAATGCGAATATGCAAGCAGTATTGAGTTGAACTCAAGTATGTGTTATATTGTTTTCCCATTTTCACCCTCTTGCAAGCTGCTTCTTACTAGTCCACACTTCTCAACTTAAATTGAAGACGAGTCAAGAGCCAAGACTGTGAAGCCCGGTGTTAACACATCGAGATGTATTAACACACGAATTTGGAAAGTCGTAGTTTTCCCGTAATTAGAATTTGTCATGCACTGTGGGCGGCTACAATGACTCTAGGGCTGATACAGTTATGTTGAAGCATTTCCTGAAAATTACAGAATTTAAGTAGACCTGTGGGCCAAATGGCAATGTAAGTGTATATTTCTGTTGTGTGACCTGTGGGCCAAATGGCAATGTGGTTTTAGGACTTAGGAAACCCGATATGGCATTCTGATTTCTGCATTGGATCGCATATTGCTTCTGTGTGGCCAAAGACTAGAGACAGTGTCGTGGCAGCACTACTGGTTTTGTATTCAACCTTCTATTTGGCCAGTTTGGCATGCAACCCCTTTTTTTTGTGAGAACAGAGGTATGCTCAAGCTCAACTGCACAATCAGGCATCCTCTTCTTGTTGTGTGCCCTCTCTCCCTGCATTCTTCAGGGATCTTTCAAGTAACTTTTTTAACAGTTCTCTGCCCAACAAATGTAGCAAACTTACGCTCCTCACTCACATGTGAGTCACACGTCTCGTGTGTCTTTTTCTCTGTTCCCTTACCTCTCCTGCCCGCCCCAACCCTTCGTTATACTCTTGTAGTGTGGTCTCTGCTATTTCCTCCTTGTTTTCCCTACTTACATTTTATGTCTGGAATGAAGAGCTTACTTGCACGTAGAGTCTCATTTACACTCACTCAGACATACTAAGTGTTGGACTGTCATCATTCATCCTCCCTCATCTCACCGCTGCACAAACAGGCAGATCGATGGGAACCAAATTTCGGGAAGCATCCCTGTTTCCTTTGGACAAATGGCTTCGTTGGAAGTGCTGTACGTCGGCAGCTGTATTTTTTTTAAACATTCCCCGCATTGTAAGCAGTTGGCAAACAATTGCCAAGAGGTATTGCACACATCTTAAGTGTAGACACAATCCATTCTGCTTGAATGATCCAGCAGCATGTTCATTGAGATGACATCCCTTAGGTTTCTCGTAATGTGTCAATGATGCACCATGCTTTTTTATAAATCTTGGATGTGGTTCGTCACGCCTTTCTATCGTTCTCAAACGCAGTGACTTAAGCTACAACTTGCTGACTGGCACCATACCCGATTCCTTCAGCCTCATGCAGAGCCTCACATCCCTGTGCGTATCCTACCATGCAACACAAGTATCCATCTAGTGCGTTGCTAGCAACGTGTCACTGAATCGCTGTTGGTTATACACAAGCAAAGGTCAAACCCAAGCCGGCCTGGTTGGAAGAGTGGCAATGCACGAAGGAAAGGGCAGCAACGGCAAGGGGCGAACATTAGCTCGGGTGGAGGGCTACGTGCAGGATTAAGATCATCAGAACTGAGCAGCAGAATTGCAGTGAGGTCTCTTGCAGAGGTAAAGATGGTAAGGACCTAGTGGGAAGAATGGAGAGCACAGAAGCAAAGAGGGTGACGGCAGCTTGCGGATGGCAGCAGGATGACTGCCACAGCAGCAACAGGAGTGTTGCTGATGGCCACGGAATGACTTAGGTTCTGTAGGAGTCCACTGAAGAGGCACTACAGCTTCCCTGCTAGAAACCTTACAGTTTTATCCGGCCAGAGATAGAATAGAGACGGGGTTACACAGCTAAGCTCACAGGTGATAAGAGTATGGAGGCATCAATAGAGGTGTAGTGGAACGGACTCTGCATTCAGCTATGCGTTGCATGTTCTTATACCCTCTCCGTGCCTCTCTCATGCCATCCCTCAACCGTTTCAATCACGTGTGCTCATCGTCGGTTTTCCCAGAAAACTGGCAAGCAATCAGCTAAGCGGTTCCATCCCGAGCTCTCTTGGGGCCATGACGTCTCTCGTTCAACTGTGAGCCTGCTTGGTTAACATCACATGGTGCTTTCTATGGTCGCTTGATTAAACCAGCTTTGAGTGGTCTATTGAGGCCCAGCTTTCCTCACGATTCCCATTGTGGGTTTTTTTTTCTGTAAACTGGGCCATTGGATTCCATCTTTTTGGGAAGCTATAAGTGTGGGAGGATAGGACAATGAGGCCAGCCCCTCGTTGCTAATCAACCCCTCAGGCCAGACTATCACCCTGCCTTTTCATTGCCACACGAGATGACAGCTGCTTGCCGACTTCTTTTGTCCGTCCAGCTCATTCGCACAAGTATCTCCTCAAGTCTCCACCAAGCATCCTTCCTTCCTTCACCATTTTCTCTTGGTTTCTGATCACAACACAATGTCTTCAGGCTCAACGTATCCGTTCCTGTTCTAGCATTTGCTATGTTATGTTTGTTGCGCTTACAGACACAATGCAGCCCTTCATAGCTTCTCAATGCCAGTGGAGTGTTTGCTCTCACCAACAGTTTCAGAACACATGCCTGCCTCTTCCTTCCATATTCATACTCCGTCACTCCTTCAAACTTCTACAGTGTCACTTACCCCTAAATTATGTGTTTGGTGTGTGTGCTCCTGTTCCGAAAGGTATTTTCGTCAGAACCTTTTGTCTGGCTCAATCCCAGCATCACTAACATCTCTGCAGCACCTTGGTTCCCTGTGAGTGAGAGTGCAATGAATTCTTTCATGCCGTTGTAGGAAAATGGAATGCCAATCAGCTCACCATGGCCCCACTACCCTATCCTATTCCGTTTGGTGCGTGGCTGCTCTTTGAAATCGGATTGACGGAACGCGGTGCATATACTTCATGTCTTTGGGGAGAAGCAATATGTGCAGATTCACATCCTTCAACCCTTTCAGTTGGGTGAGGTACTTATCAAAACACTGATGGATAAGATCATATGAGCAGTGATGACATCGTTTCTGGGCCTCGCTTGGCTGCTGACTCACGCGCTTTGTCAATGCCGTTGGATGTGCTGTGATGTGGTGCTGTTGCAGATGCTTCACAAAAGGTGAAGAAATTGTTTCTCCGTGTTCCACACTATTCTCACCTTAGATTGCTTGACTACAACCATCTAACAGGGAGCATCCCTGCTGCTTTGGCTGATCTACCCTTGTACTACCTGTAAGCCATGCACACCGCTTTTCCTTCACCGAACACAGGAAGGGCGTTATCTCGTTCCCAACAAATAGCCGTTTTTTAGCAACATGCTAAAGAACTGCGCATCCTAGTCCCGACAATTTTCTTCTTGCTGCCTCCTCCTTCAGTGCATTACCTTCACCCTCTGGCACCTTGGTGTTGGCAGGTCGACAGCATCCAACCCCACATCCGGATCCATACCCACAGCCTTTGGCAAGCTCACCAACATGCTTGCTATGTATGGCTGAACCAGCTGCCTGCAGTGTGATGTCATGCTGTTGCAGCACAGTACTGCAAAGGCATACAGTAGATGTATATGTGTTGTGTTGCATCACTAACTTAATGACCTCAGCTCCTCACCAGTTTGATTTCACTCTTGTGTTCTCCACACCACTTGAGCAGTGACTTATCAAGCAATCAGTTGCATGGGTCAATTCCGAGCACCCTCAGCAACCTTTCCAAAATTCGAGCCCTGTATTTTTCTACCACCAATATATAAATGAAATACCCTCGACCGCTGCTTTTCTCACTGCATTTCTCTTTCATGATTCTTTTTGTCCTCTTGCTCGCTCGTTCCATGTCCTCTGCTCCCATCACCTTCCAAGCTATGTTGCTCCCATCACCTTGCATGCTATGTTGCTCCCATCACCTTGCATGCTATGTTGCTCCCATCACCTTGCATGCTATGTTGCTCCCATCGCCTTGCATGCTATGTTGGTGAGTGTTCCTCCTGCTGCTTGCACTCTCTTGTGTGTGCGAGCTGCTCAGCTCACTGGCCTTCAACCAGCTCTCAGGCCCCGTGGATCACATTCTGCACGGCATGCGAAACCTCTCCTTGCTGTGAGTATTACAATGCAGCAGCAGCAGCAGCAGCAGCCGGCCTGCATCTGGTATTCCCTGCTCTCTCGGCTTCATTCGTCCATCCTTCCAGTTGTCTCTGAAGTACACCTTCTGTGTGTCACACGTGCAGGTTCCTACTACAGAACCACTTCTCCGGTGGTCTACCCAGCCCTGCTCCTTCGAGCCTGGTGCAGTATTGGGTGAACGATAACTTCTTCACACATGGCCAAGTCACGTTCCCCAACTGCTCTGCGGCCATTTTCAGCACCAAGACTAATTGCCTCGCTGCTTCCCACACCATCTGTGGCCGTACTTTCACCCAGAGGCCAGCTGCTGGCTGCTCTGCATTCTGTGGAGTGGAGGTTGGCGATGCTCGTCCTGTGTGTGGGGGCCATGGCTACTGCGCCGTGAATCCCTTTGTGGGAGCAGGGGAGTGTGTATGCGACCCCAACTACATGCGCAACAGCAGCGATAGCTTGGCCTGTGTGCCTGGAGGTGTGTTTTTGGAAGTGCAACCCATGACAGCATTTTGCCTAGCTAACTCACGCGTAAGCATGTGGCCTGAAACTTGTTTCAGCATCTCTGCCGTTGCAGCATAACTTACTGATACTCAAGTGCTGTTTACTTGCCTGCTTCCCTTGCACCTGCAGCCGTAGGAGCATCACTGGCATCAGGCTCGGCCTATGTGTCGCTGCAGGGCTCAGCTACTGTGCTTTCCAACGGCTCCATTCTTCTCACAGGAGGGGCGCCCAACCAGCAGGGAGCAGCGTTTGCCTCTCCCGCGCTGCGCCTTTTCTACTTTCCCAACAAGCGCTCCCTCTGCGGAATTGAGCTCGCATTCACCGCTGCCTTCAGCTTTGCCATGCGCCCACCGGGCCAGGGGGCAGGTGGGGAGGGCCTTGCGTTTGTGGTGGCAGCAGCTGCTTCTGGAAAGGGGGCGAGTGTGGGGCTGGGAGGGGTGGGGAAGCGGAGTGTGGCGGTGGAGTTTGACTCGGTGCTGAGTGTGAAGCACAGCGACCCCAACGACAACCACATGGGCGTCAATGTGGGTGGCTCACCTGTGTCCCTCGCCTCTGCCACGGCCCCTCTCATCCTCAACGACGGCCACACCAAGCACGCCTGGATCCACTACGACCCCACCAGCGGCGGCACTCTCCGAGTTTTCCTCTCCTCGGAACCCGACGAGCCCTTCGCCCCCACCCTCACAGCAAGCGTGTCTCTCTGCTCCGTTCTCAAGCCCACTGCATCCGACTCTCTCTTCCTTTTTGGTTTTGTTGCTTTCTCGGGCAGCCAGCCGCAGATGCACACCATTGTTTCCTGGACCTTCAACACAGGTGCGTTATTGTTCTCCATTCATGCAAGTCCAGTCATTCACACGGTGATCCTTCCTGTAGTCATGCTTTAGGCTTTCTACCAGTTGCTTGCTTTCATTGCTAATCTAAATTTATCGTTCACGTGTCTTAGCAATCCCCGCACGATTTGTGACGTACACGATGCGATATATTTTACGTGTGCAGCGTTCAATCTACTTTTAACTGTTTGTATCGCACATTGCTCGCTTCTTTCTTATCCCTTTTTGAACAGGTGTTTGATCTTGACATTTCAGCACGGTAATCTTTATGGGCGATGCACATTCAGCTGCTCCTTTATATCACAATCAAGCAAGGGCATGTGCATATCCTCTTAGCAAATCAAGTCACTTGCAAATCATAAATTCTCGTAGCACTAGCCTTTAATAACAAATTCTATTACGATTGTCTGTATGTACTGGGTGGCATGAGTTTGAGTGCACTTTGAACTGGCTTGAACTGACTTGCCATGCATGTCCCTCCTCCAGTCCAGGTACTCCCAGCAAGTGGCGATGATACCATGAGCTGCACGCACTTAGGTTCTTGAAAATCCTAAATAAACCATCCAGCTCCTCAACTGAACAGGGTGAGATGTGCACACTGGCACCACTCCGTCTCTACTCCTCTTCCCGTGTCATGCTTCCTGTCCTCCTCCGTGCTCTCTCCCTTCCCAACCAGGTACGTCCAGTAGGTGGTTTCAGAGTGGTTCACTTCGCTTTTTCTTGAAAACACCAAACTCTCCTCCCCTCGTTCCGCCTTTTTGTTGAAGGTATAAACTTGACATTATAGGTTGTTAAATTTCAGTGGTGTTATCCTTGTTATAGGGCTCCAATCCAACCCTAGTCCTTGCAAATCTTGTACGATAAGACATAAAATATTCGTGTCGATAAGTTCTTGACTCCAGTATTGCCGCTTACATATGTTACGATAAGTGAATCTTGATTACGTTACATCCATGTTCGTGACAAGACACGAACACAAGTGGGTACAAAGGGTGAACGGCCAAGGTTATGCGAAATGCCGCGCACAGTTGGTAGGATCTGGACCATTAACAGGAGACACATCGGGCAGCTACGTCGCCAAGGAATTTGGTGGGAACAGGTCCGTAACCGGTTATGTTGCACGTTTGAAATGCGCCACAATACTGGAATATACCGTCTGGCCCCGGATAGTAGCGCATATGCGCTTATAATAATAAAAAACAAATTTAGGGGGGGCGCTTGTAATTGAGTAACGACCATAAGCGCCGATGCTTTTATAATGACAAATATGAAAACATATATTTAGAGCACCAAATCATTCATTTCCTTCTTGCCATTTCAACCTAATTCAAAAATTTTAGCGTCACAAAGCAAAATCTCGCGCAAGTGATATTCTGGGTTCACACACAGGCAAAGACACGTCATGCGAGCACATCCTGACTGGACGCGCAGCCAGTCAGGTCTTCGTGAGTCAAACGAAATGAGATTGAAATTAGATTCGCTCCAAAAATGAATTTCGTTTCCGTTTTAAGCATGAATGTAAATTTGCACGTGCACTTATAATAAGTAAAGTTTTTCTAAAGGGGGGCGCTTATAATTTAATTAATGTGATAGAATTACGCTAACTATCAAGATTCTAGCAGGTGGGCAATCTAATACTGAGACAACAAGATTTCTAAAAGGGAGACGGCTGCAAGAAGGGTACAGTCCAGGAGCGACTGAAGGCAAAACGAGTCACGGAACACTGTGGAGGATGCGAAGGCAGTGGGTTGAGTTTGAGGTGTGGAATGCGGTCTAGGTGTGTGCTCTGTACATAACTGTGGCATGTCAGATGGGAGTGACAACGAGTGTGAAATGCATATGTTTCTTTTCATTGTGTCTCTGCAGAACTGTAGCAAGGTGCTGGAAAGGAGGATACGTGCAGCCAACCGCCAGCTGGTGACCCGAGCACAGGGGCATGCGTGAGCCATGATAGCTGGGTTCGGCGCCCGAGCAAGTGCTCATGCAAGCACAAACCGCCAGTGACTTGTAAATAGCTTCGAGCGCCCCCGAACCTCGACACTGTGTGATGTATGTTTGTTTGTAGTGTGTGTGCGCAGCAGCTGGAGCTCTATGCTAGCCAGACCTCTCAATGTACATAGGAAGTGCCTAGTGTTAGACCTCGCTGCTTCTTTATTTGTTTTCTGCATTTCTCGTAATGGATCCCGTTAAACCAAATACAGGCATCAAGTAAGCGGAAGCCAAACAGCTAGTTGGTTCATGGGTTACTGAGCTTTTTCAACAAACAAAGAAGAAGAGGCCAAATCTGCGATTGACGGAGTGCGGATGCAGCTTAGATCTGGCAACCTGTACGAACCTGCGGTCGAGCCTGAACCGATGGCAACTCCAAGTTGGAGGGTCGGAGAAGTGACGGGAACTGAAGGCGGAGCACGAACTCCGTTGTCGGGGGTTGCGCCAGGCAGGGAACCTTACACCGCACCGCATTGGAGGCACAGCATGAGCGACCTGCCGAGCGGAGGCAGCGAGGGACAAGGAGGACCCTCGGAACAACCACTCGCGAAAGTGGTGGCGGCAGGAAGCACGTCACTGCCCGAAGGAAATCAGGAGATAGGCATTGCCGCGACGGGCTAGTTGGCGCAGACACGGAGGATCTCAATGTCAGAACATCATCCTATGAAAGTCATGCACTCATCGATCCTCTACACAACACTGCCCAAGATTGAGGTACAAGAACGATTCGCAGGCACGCCGGGCATGGGGAGCTCACTGCGCAACTACATGATGCAGATCCGGAACACGCAATACCGTTGGGTGAAGGACGGGCTGGAGCCAGATGACTTCTTTCGTAGTCTATCCAACATCGTGACAAGAGAAGCTGAAACAGCCTAAGGATTGGAGTTGGAACTGTCGAACTTATATGCTATAGTCTGTTTAGGCTGTAGTGGGGTAGTCTATATGGGGTACAACACTTGAGGATTTCCTACTTGTACTCCTCATGCTGCTCAATGCAATCATTCCTTCCTCAATTCTCACATGGTATAGAGCAGGTTCCCTTGTGGGAACGCTTCCTAAGGGCCCACCACTAAATTTTTTCTGACCGGAGCGCGCTTCTCTCCTGCCCGAGTCGCGCCCCGTGTGCCCTCCCTCCCGTCGCGTCCCTAGCCCTTAGCGGCTCGTCGTCGCGCCTCTAGGCCCGTCACGACCCCTTAGCGGCCCCGGCGTCGCCCCTCTAGGCCCCTCGCGGCCCCTTCGCGGCCCCGTCGCCGCCTCTTCAGGCCCCTTACGGCCCCTCTACGACCCGGTCACCGCCCCTAGCGGCCACCTCGCCGCCCTTAGCGGCCCCGTCGCCGCCCTACTGGCCCCGTCGCCGCCCTACCGGCCCCGTCGCCGCCCTACCGGCCCCGTAGCCAACCCTGGCGGCCTCGTCGCCGCCCTACCGGCCCCGTTGCCGACCCTACCGGCCCCTTCGCCGACCCTAGCGGCCCCGTCGCCACCCTATCGGCCCCGTCGCTGACCCGTGCGGCCCCGTCGCCCTAAGCGTCCCTGTCGCCGACCCTACCGGCCCCGTCCCCGCCCTAAGCGGCCCCGTTGCCAACCATACCGGCCCCGTTGCCGCCCTACCGGCCCCGTCGCCGACCCTAGCGGCCTTGTCGCCGCCCTAAGCGGCCCCGTTGCCGACCCTACCAGCCCCGTCGCCGCCCTACCGGCCCCGTCGCCGACCCTAGCGGCCCGGTCGCCGCCCTAAGTGGCCCCGTCGCCGCCCTTCGCGGCCACGTAGCCGCCCCTAGCAGCCCTGTCGCTGCTCTTCACGGCCACGTCGCCATCTCTACCGGCCCCTTCAACGCCGCCAGCAGCCCAGCAGCCGAGGGGCCCGACAACCGAGCCGCCGAGCCGCCCAGCAGCCGAGCCGCCGAGCCACCCAGCAGCCGAGCCGCCGAGCCGCCGCGCCGCCCAGCAGCCGAGCCGCCGAGCCGCCCTGCAGCCGAGCAGCCGTGTTGCCCAGCAGCCGAGCCGCCGAGCCGCCCAGCAGTCGAGCTGCCGAGCCGCCCTGCCGTCGAGCTGCCACTGTTCCTTCCGGCGCGCCCCGACCCTACTTCCTTGGACTGGTGAGCTCACTCCCTAAGAGAACACTGCAGTCATGGCTACCCCCAGTGTCCTTACCTTTGATATTGAGGGTTGTGCTGTTGACTTTGAGGTCTGGGTCGATGACCTCCAGCTGTTCTTGAGAAGATATGAATGAGAATGAATGCAGTATGAAAGAAGAGAGTACAAGTACTAACCCTAATTGGGTTGTACCCCCTATGGGATGCCCCACTATAGCCTACACAAAATGTATAAGCTACAATATTCTGACACACCCCCATAGGCAAAGTGGGGGAGAACAAGGGGTCACAAGACCAGTCAAGCAAAGCAAAGAAAAGCAAGCTCAGGGTGGATCACAACGTCACCACACAGTCCGAGCACAAGTTCAGGGCCACAGGGCCAGTTCACATGCAGGAGTATAGACAAGCACAACAGTATATATATATATATATATAGAGGCAACAGTACAAGCAGCATCAAGAGGTGAGCAAGTGAGGCAAGACAGGCACAAGACCCAGCTGCGTTCAGAAGCGCTGATGATCACAAAGCGCAAGTGCCTTGGTGAATACATCAGCAGTGTTGGCCTCAGAGGTCACGTAGGCAAGCCGCAACTGACCACGCTGCTGTAGCTCATGAGCAAGGAAGTAGCGAAGAGCAATGTGCTTTGTTCTGTGCTCCTGTCTCTGCTCTCGACACAAGGCCAGCATGGCCTTGTTGTCTACGTACAGGACTGGAGGAGAACGAGGCTGCTCTCCAAGGTCGGTCAGCAGGTAGGTGAGCCAGCGAAGCTCCTGTGCAGCCATGGCCCCTGTGTAGATCTCAGCCTCACAACTGGAGTCGAGAACAGAAGACGAGCGAGTAGCCCGCCACGAGACAGAGCTGGAACCAAGGCTGAAGGTGTAACCCTGTGACGACTGCTGCGTAGCCTGGTCGTCAGCCCAAGAAGTGTCCGCGTGCCCAGAGAGGACCACTGGACTCCGCCCTCCAAGCACTAGCCCCATGCCCGACGTACTACACAAGTAGCGCAACACCCTCTTCGCTGCAGCCATGTGCTCTGGTCGGTGTCTCCCAGGAGCGACATAGCGTGCAAGAATGCTAAGAGGGTATGCAAGGTCAGGTCGAGTGCAGGTCATCAGGTACATGAGGCAGCCAACAAGCTCTGGATACGGGCCACTCGACTCTACGGACTCATCCGCAAGCAGAGCTGAGAGCGAGTGGCGAGTAGGCAGAGGAGTGGCCTGAGGCGAGGAGTACGTGAAGCCGAAGCGCTGAAGGACCTGCTGCACCATGTGTGACTGAGTCAGGGTAATGGTGCGGCGTGCTCTGTCCCGGGTGATCTGCAAGCCAAGGTAGCTGCGCAGTTCACCCAGGTCTGAGCACGTGTGTCTCTTCTGCAGCTCGGACTTCACGTAGGCGAGTCCAGCAGTGTGAGCTGTGGTAAAGACCAAGTCGTCGACGTACACGAGGATGTAGAACGGCGGCAGAGCGGTGTCGGTGCGCAGAAACAGCGACGAGCTGGCAGTAGAAGGAGCAAACCCAAGAGCCGCAAGCGTAGTCCTCAATGTGTCGTGCCACTCACGTGGCGCCTGGCGGAGACCGTAGACTAGACGCCGGAGACTCCAGTGGGTACCAGGAGGGCAAGACCCAGTGAAGCCAGGTGGGCGGCGCAGCCACATCTCCACGTGTAGGCTGCCCTGCAAGAAAGCAGTGTTGAAGTCGAGAGAGTGCAGCTCATAGTCACGGTGAGCAGCAACGTGCAGCAGTACCCAAAGAGTGGTCATCTTCGGGGTGGGGGAGAAGGTCTGAAAGTAGTCAACTCCCTGTCGCTGACTGAAGCCACGAGCCACGTAACGCGCCTTGAAGACAGGCGGAGAACCCGGCGGCCGGTTCACCCTAAAGATCCACATGCCACTGAGGATGTTCGCCCCAAGAGGGGGGACAGCGTCAACATAGGTGCCTGTGGACTTCCAGGAAGCCATCTCTACATCCATAGCTGCCTGCCACTGAGAAGAGTAGGGACCCTCTACGGCCTCCGCGTAAGAGCGCGGAGTCGGGATGTCAAGTGCATCCGGGTCTCCCTGAGGGGTAAGCAGCACGGACACGAGATGAGGTGAAGCAGCTGCCAGACACTGGAACTCCTCCTGCCTATCCTCAAGGACGTCCGTGCTAAGAGCACACTCACCCTTGACAGACAGAGGACATACAGACTCAGACTCAGCGACAAGACTAGCAGCGTAGTCTAGACGACAGCGAGCAGCAAAGTCGAAGAGCTCAGCAACTAGGGCAGACGCAGCAGTGGACTCAAAGGAAGGGTCAGTGACGACAGTAGCAAGGAGACGCGTGACAGTAGTACTGGCAGTACGAAGAGAGTCCGACTCTGGGCCGGCAAGAGCAGGAAGAGAGGACTCAGGAGGAGAAGGCAAAGGGGCACGCAGAGGAGCAGTGGACGGACGCAGAGACATTCGGTGCTTGCCAGGGACAGGAGGAGGACGCTGACGAGAACCACGACCACTAGTGCGAGCAGCACGGACGGGTGACGTAGGGCAAGACGAAGGCTCACGACGCTCAGCAAGACCTCCAGTAGGACCAGTGTAGGGAGAAGGAGCAGGCAAAGGGGAGGCAGGCTGTAACTGCAACTGTGACGGGAGAGGCTGTGGACACTCTAAGGAAGGAGGAGGACCAGTAGAAGGCGGAAGACCAAGAACCTGCTGCAGGAGCGGAACGAAGTACGGCCGAGGCCGCGCGGCGACTCCACACACAGCAGGGACTGCAACAGTACCCTCAGCGGCAGCACCAGCACCAGCAGCACCTCCAGCTCCAGTACCCCAGCAGCACCAAGAACACCTCCGGCGGGACCGCCAGCAGTAGTCTCAGCGCCAACACCCTCAGTAGCACCGGCTCCAGTCAAACTCGCAGGCCCAACAGCTCCAGTACGCCCAGTACGAGCACCTCTGGGACCCGCGACAGCAGCACCCTCAGTAGTCAAAGAACCTCCAGCTCCAGCAGCACGCCTCGAGCGCCTGGCAAACCACTCGCGCAGCTCGTGTGGAGAGAGTGGCTCCCGCAGAGACGAAGCACCCGGAGAACCTCTAGGCGTAGCACCCGCAGGCACAACACCCCCAGGCTCAGCACCCCCAGGCGTAGCACCCCCAGGCTCAGCACCCCCAGGCTCTTCACCCCCAATCTCAGCACCCCCAGGCTCAGCACCCCCAGGCTCAGCACCCCCAGTCTTAGCACCCCCCGGCTGAGTACCCCCAGTCTCAGCACCCCCAGGCTCAGCACCCTCAGCAGCACCAGAGTCACCAGTAACCTCGACAGGCTCGACTGCGTCTACCTGGGACACACCTGAAGGGGTAGGACCCTGAGGGGGGAGGGGGTCAACCGGGGGGGGACCTGGTACAAGGAAGAGCGGGGGTGGGGGGGGTGGGGAGGGACGGAGTGCGGTAGGGGAAGAGGCGGTAGTAGGGAACCGACTCGTCAAACAGAGGTGGGAGTGGTGGCGGGGGTGTAGGTGTTGGTGGCAGCAGTGGAGGCGGAGGAGGCGGCGGGGGTGGCAGAGGGAGCGGAGGAGGCGGCGGTGGCGGAGGCGGCGGAGGTGGCGGAGGCGGCGGAGGTGGCGGTGGAGCTGGTCGCGGCTCTGCGCAGAGGAGTGGCTCCGGTGGTGGTCCACGCCAGCAGCAGCAGCGCGGTCGTGAGACCCTGTCCCCTCAGCAGCTCCGTGAGTGGTACGCTGGGCGTCAGCAGGGTGGGGGTACTGGTCTATGGGCCTCCCAGTATGGGGGGGTGTCAGTAGAGCTACATTGTGAGATCCTCGATCGATCCTAGGGTGGGTTATAGGCGCACTGACCCGCTGCTGAAACAAGCCCTTTTATCCCAATGGTCTAGTGGTTGGGATTCTGACAGTTCGACCCCGACACACGACGTAGCACGGATTCGGCTCGCAGCAACACTGTTACATGGACCGGCATTAGAGTGGATTTACTACACTGACGTGGCCCGTGGGGAGAAAATGTGGCAGCAGTTTCGGGCAGACCTCATCGAAAGGTTCGAGCCAATTAATACGACCTACATGGCGTGGCAGTTGATACACTGTCACAAACAGTACAGTAGTGTAGCACAGTATACGCAGCAGATGGAGCTACTGTTCTACCGCATCACGGACCTGACCGAAGGCAAAAAAATCCAGGCGTACACAGAAGGGTTTGTCAGAATGCTATATAGCTTACACATTTGTGTAGGCTATAGTGGGGTATCCCATAGGGGGTACAACCCAATTAGGGTTTCCTATTTGTATCACTTCCATACCTTATTCATACTTTCTCGTTTTCATTCTTCACATGGAATCAGAGCAGGTCCCCTCCTATGGACTGTTCCTTGGGCCCACCGAAGCGCGCCTCGAGTCGCGCCTGACTTTTTTTTAAGCGGCCCGTCGTGTCGCACCTAGCGGCCCGTCGCGCCGCCCTTACGGTCCCGTCGAGCCGCCCTAGTGGCTGCGGCGTGCCGCCCTTACCTGCGGCTTCGCCCGCCCCGACCCGTCGCCGCCCTTCCCGCGGCTTCGCGCCGTCCTTCCCGCGGCTTCGCGCCGTCCTTCCCGCGGCTTCGCGCTGCCCTTCCAGCGGCTTCGCGCCGCCCTCACCGGCGGCTTCGCGTCGCCCTTACCTGCGGCTTCGCGCCGCCCCGGCCCGTCGCCGCCCTTCCCGCGGCTTCGCGCCGTCTCTACCTGCGGCTTCGAGCCGCCACGCCCCGTCGCCGCCCTTGCCCGCGGCGTCTCGCCGCCCTTCATTGCCGCCCACCCGTCGCCTGACCTGCGACCCACCTGCCGCCCTTACTGCGGCCTGACCGCCGCCCTACCTTCGGCCCACCCGCCGCTACACATGCGGCCCACCGCCGCCCTACCTGCGGCCCAAGGTCGCCCTACCTGCGGCCGCCCGCTGCCCTACCTTCGGCCCTGCCCGCTGCCCTACCTGCGGCGCACCTGCCGCCCTACCTGCGGCTCACCCGCCACCCTGAACCAGCGCCGCCGCGCCGCCCTGCACGAGAGCTGCCCAGCAGCAGGACCACCGGGAGCCGAGCCGCCCTGCCGCCGAGCCGCCCAACAGCCGAGCCGCCCTGCCGCCGAGCCGCCCAGCAGCCGAGCCGCCCGGGAGCCGAGCCGCCCTGCCGCCGAGCTGTTCAGCCGCCGAGCTGCCCAGCAGCCGAGCCGCCTGGGAGCCGAGCCGCCCTGCCGCCGAGCCGCCCAGCCGCCGAGCCGCCTTGCCGCCGAGCCGCCCAGCAGCTGGACCGTCAGAGCTGCCCTGTCTAGTGAGCACAGTGTCTTCTCCCACTGCACGGCCCTCCCACCCCTACTGCTTGCACTGCTCGTCATCTGTCGTCATGGCTACCCCTAGTGTCCTCACAGAGGGACGAGCCGTTGACTTTGAGGTCTGGGTAGACGACCTGCAGCTGTTCTTACAGTGCGATAGGGCAGACGGCCTCTCTCTCTTTGACCTTACCTCTGGCGCTTCCCCTGCCCCTGCTGCTGATGCTGACGCCACTGTTCGCTCACAGTGGGCCACGCGCGACGCTGCTGCATGTCTTGCTGTGCGTCGCCACCTCCCTACCTCCGAGCGTGCGCACTTTAGTCAGTACAAGAGTGCTCAGACCTTGTACGACGCTGTAGTCGCGCGCTACTCCTCCCTTGCCACTGCTGCACTGAGCCGTCTCATGCTGCCGTACCTCTTCCCTGACCTTGCTGCTTTTCCCACCGTAGCTGACCTCATCACGCACCTCCGCACTAGTGACACTCGCTACCGCGTTGCACTCCCTGCTGACTTCTACGCCGCGAAACCCCCCCCCCCCCCCCCCATGTACATCACTTTGTACTTCCTAGAGCATCGTCGCTGTAGGAGCCTCTCGAGGTGACCCGCGTACCCCCATCTTTGAGGGGTGTTCCCCCTCCCCCCTGCTGCCCTCTGTTGCCTCTGCTGCTGCGGCCGACCTCCTTGATCTTGAGTCGGTCGGTGCGGCGTCTGCCCCTAGCGGGAGACGCCGCCCTCGCAAGGGCAAGGGGGGCAAGGGAGCTGGAGGAGCGGGCGGTGGAGGTGGAGGTGGAGGCGGTGGGGGGAGTGGGGGTGGCGTGGGAGTAGTGGTGGGGGTGGGGGGGTCGGTGGCGACAGTGGAGGTGGAGGCGGCGGCGGTGGTGGCGGTGGGAGCGGAGGTGGCGGAGGAGGCGGCGGTGGAGGCGGCAGCGGAGGCGGCGGTGGCGGTGGAGGCAGCGGAGGCGGCGGAGGCGGTGGGGGTGGCGGTGGAGCTGGTCGCGGGCCTTCGCACAGGAGTGGCTCCGCTGGTGGCTCGCGCCAGCAGCAGCGCGGTCGTGAGACCCTGTCCCCTCAGCAGCTCCGTGAGTGGTACACTGCACGCTAGCGGGGTGGGGGTTTTGGTCCGTGCACCTACGTCCTGCACACCAGCGACCGTGCGGGTGAGCAGTGTGGGGGTGCGCACCCCACCCAGCGCTGCTTTGGCCGCCTGACGGACGCGTGGCGTCACTTGTTCTCGTAGGCCTCAGAGATCCCTCGCTGGGGCGAGCTCTCTAGGGCGGGTGTTGCTATATTTGATCTTGACTTTGATGCTATTCTTTCTGCCATGTATGCTGTGTCTATTAGTGATGAGGTTGACTGTTACCGGTGTTTCCCGCCCGATCCGGGCATTGAGACTGCTGCACTAGGTACTGGTGAGGCTGCTGCCCTAGGTGCTTGCGACGCTGCTGCTCTAGGTGCTAGTGTGTCTGCGTGTACTGGTGAGTCTGCGCTCTTAGGTACTACGTCGGCTTCGGCCTCCCTCACCTTCACCCTTGACTCTGGGGCGTCTCGCTCCTTCTTTCGGGACCGTACCACTCTCACGCCGCTTAGTTGGCGAGTTGCGGTGTCTCTGGCTGACCCCTTTGGGGGTCCTATCTTGTCTCGCTTCTCCACAGTCCTCCCGTGTCCGGCGGCTCCCTCTGGCACCCTGTCTGGTCTCTACCTCCCCTCGTTCTCGACGAACCTGGTGAGTGGTGCTGACCTACAGGATGCGGGTGTCCACCGGTTCACTCCTGCGCGTCGGCGAGTGACCCACTGTACAGAGGCTGACATAGGCCGACACCTGGCTATGTTCACCCGTCAGCCGGGGTCGATCCTGTACACTCTGACCACTGCGTCTCCTCCAGTTGCTGAGTCTGGTAGGGTAGCTGCGTCGGGTCAGGTGTTTGCTGCGGCGTCCAGGTCTGGTCCTGAGTCTGCCCCCTGTTCGTGTCGTCTCCTGTCTGACGAGACCCTCCTCCGGCACCATCGCCTTGGCCACCCCTCTCTGCTTCGGCTCAGAGGCATGGCCTCCCGTCTTCTTGTGTCTGGTCTCCCCCGGTCCCTCCCTCCCCTTCCTCAGGGCCCTGGCCCTGCGTGTGTCCCCTGTGTCGAGGGGCGCCAGCGTGCTGCCCCTCACTCCTCCCAGTTTCCTCCGACAGAGGCCCCGTTGCAGACGCTTCACATGGACGTGTGGGGCCCAGCCCGCGTCCGTGGACAGGGTCACGAGCGCTACTTTCTGCTAGTTGTTGACGACTACTCGCGTTACACCACAGTCTTCCCCTTGCGCAGCAAGGGTGATGTCACTGAGGTGTTGATCGACTGGATCCGCGTAGCTCGTCTTCAGCTCAGACAGCGCTTTGGCTCGGACTTTCCTATTCTGCGTATGCACTCGGACAGAGGCGGAGAGTTTTCCTCTGGCCTTCTACGAGCCTTCTGCCTCGCATGAGGCATCCGTCAGACCTTCACGCTTCCAGATTCACCACAACAAAATGGGATTGCTGAGCGCCGCATTGGCATGGTCATGGACGTCGCTCGTACGTCTATGATGCATGAGGCTGCCCCCCATTTTCTGTAGCCGTTTGCGGTGAGGTACGCGGCGCATTAGCGCAACCTCTACCCAGGGTCTCCAGGGCGGAGACCTCCCCAGCCTTGCTGTGGACCGGGAAGGTTGACGATGCGTCGGCGTTCCGGGTCTGGGGATCTCGGGCGTTTGTCTGTGACATGTCTGCGGACAAGCTGTCCCCTCGTGTTGCTCCTTGCGTCTTCCTGGGGTTCCCCCCTGACGCGCCTGGGTGGCAGTTCTACCACCCCACCTCTCGACGTGTTCTGTCCTCCCACGACGTCACGTTTGACGAGTCGGTCCCCTACTACCGCCTCTTCCCCTACCGCACTCCGTCCCTTCCCCCGCCCCCGCTCTTCCTTGTACCAGGTCCCCCCCAGGTAGACCCCCTTCCCCCTCAGAGTCCTGCCCCTTCAGGTGTGTCCCAGGTAGACGCTGTCGAGCCTGTCGAGGTCACTGGTGACTCTGGTCCTACTGAGGGTGCTGCCGCTGGGGGTGATGAGCCTGGGGGTGCTAGACCTAGGGGTGTGGAGCCTAGGGGTGCTGAGTCTGGGGGTGCTGAGCTTGGGGGTTCTGCGTCTTGGGGTGCTGAGCCTGGGGGTGCTGAGCCGGGGGGTGCTGAGCCTGGAGGTGCTACGCCTGGGGGTGCTGAGCCTGGGGGTGCTACGCCTGGGGGTGCTAAGCGTGGAGGTGCTCCGCCTGGAGGTTCTCCGGGTGCTTCGTCTCGCCGGGAGCCACTCTCTCCACAGGAGCTGCGCGAGTGTTTTGCCCGGCGCTGGCGTCGTACTGCTGGTGCTGGAGGTTCTTCGGCTGCTGAGGGTGCTGCGGTCACGGGTCCCCGAGGTGCTCGTACTGGGAGTACTGGAGCTGCTGGGCCTTCGGGTTCGACTGGAGCTGGTGCTGCTGAGGGTGTTGGCGCTGAGACTACTGCTGGTGGTCATGCTGGGAGTGCTCCTGGTGCTGCTGGAGGTTTTGGTGCTGCTGGAGGTGCTGCTGGAGCGGGTGCTCCTACTGAGGGTGCTGGTACTGTCCCTGCTGCTTCTGGCGTCGCCACGCGGCCTCGATTGTACTTCGTTCCACTCTTGCAGCAGGTTCTTGGTCCTCCACCTTCTACTAGTCCTCCTCCTCCCTTAGAGTGTCCGCAGCCTGTCGATTCACAGTTCCAGCTGCAGCCTACCTCCCCTCTGCCTGCTCTTTCTCCCTTCACTGGTCCTACTGGAGGTCTTGCTGAGCGTCGTGAGCGTGCGTCTCGCCCTACATCGCCTGTCCGTCCTGCTGGCGCTAGTGGTCATAGTTCGCGTGAGCGTCCTCCTCCTGTCCCTGACACGCACCGGATGTCTCTGCGTCCGTCCACTGCTCCTCTGCGTGCCCCTTTGCCTTCTCCTCCTGAGTCCTCTCTTCCTGCTCTTGCCGACCCGGAGTTGGACTCTCTTCGTGCTGCTAGTCCTATTGTCACGCGTCTCCTTGCGACTGTCGTCACTGATCCTTCTTTCGAGTCCACTGCTGCGTCTGCCCTAGCTGCTGAGCTCGTCGACTTTGCTGCTCGCTGTCGCCTAGACTACGCTGCTAGTCTTGTCGCTGAGTCTGAGTCTGTCTGTCCTCCGTCCGTCGGGGGTGAGTGTGCTCTTAGCACGGACGTCCTTGAGGACAGGCAAGAGGAGTTCCAGTGTCTGGCAGCTGCTTCACATCATCTCGTGTCTGTACTGCTTACCCTTGAGGGAGACCCGGATGCACTTGACATCCCGACTCCGCGCTCTTACGCGGAGGCGATAGAGGGTCCCTGCTCTTCTCAGTGGCAGGCAGCTATGGATGCAGAGATGGCTTCCTGGAAGTCCACAGGCACCTACGTTGATGCTGTCCCCCCTCCTGGGGCGAACATCGTTAGTGGCATGTGGATTTTCAGGGTGAAGCGGCCGCCGGGTTCTCCGCCTGTCTTCAAGGCACGGTACGTGGCTCGTGGCTTGAGTCAGCGGCAGGGAGTTGACTACTTTCAGACCTTCTCTCCGACCCCGAAGATGACCACTCTTCGGGTGCTACTGCACGTTGTCGCTCACCGTGACTACGAGCTGCACTCTCTTGACTTCAGCACAGCTTTCCTGCAGGGCAGCCTTCACGAGGAGATCTGGCTGCGCCGCCCACCTGGCTTCACTGGGTCTTTCCCTCCTGGTACCCAGTGGAGTCTCCGTCGTCCAGTCTACGGTCTCCGCCTGGCGCCACGTGAGTGGCACGACACACTGAGAACTACACTTGCGGCTCTTGGGTTTGCTCCTTTTACTGCCGACCCGCCGCTGTTTCTGCGCACGGACACCTCTCTGCCGCCGTTCTACATCCTCGTGTACGTCAACGACTTGGTCTTTGCCACAGCTGACACTGCTGAACTCGCCTACGTGAAGTCCGAGCTGCAGAAGAGACATACGTGCACTGACCTGGGTGAACTGCACAGCTACCTTGGCTTGGAGATCACCCGGGACAGATCACGCCGCACCA